TTGGTTTGGATTTGGATCTTTCAGAAGCAGAGCACCTGGTCTGTCTTCCAAGGCACCTGGGGTGGGTTCTCACCATCAATCCTTTCAGCCACACAGGGATTTCCCTACTGATGAAATAATAGACCTTTTTCCCATGTTTTGCTACTAAAAATAACACTGTAACAAATATTCTTATACATAATTTTTCCATATAAAACAACAACAAAAAAAACCAAAGCCATTGAATCAGTTCCAACTCACAGCAACCCTCCTTTGGGTTTCTGAGGCAGTAGGTCCTTACAGAAGTAGACTGCCCAGTCTTACTTCCGCAGAGTGGCTGCTGGGTTTGAACTGCCAACCTTCTGGTTAGCTGTCAAGTGCCTTAGGCACTGAGCCACCAGCACACTCCTTTATTTTCCATATACTTGAGTTTATTTGTTTGATAAATTCCTGTTATAACTTCTGGGTCAAGGTGTTTGAGTGTTTTTAACTTTCAACAACAATATGCCAAATAGTCTTCCAAAGAGGCTTCAGCCACTGACAGAAGTATGAGGAGCCGACATGGCAGAACTTCCACTTCCACTAAGTGAAAGATTAGAAACTCTGTTTTGTGTTTCTTTAATTAGAACGATGAGTGTATTTTCATGTTTATAAGCCACTCGTATGTCTCTTTTTCCTGTGAACAATATACTTATATCCTTTCTCCAGTTTTCAATAGAATAACAACAACTACAAGGCTGTTTGAGGGGGGAAAAAAAAAGAATAAGGTAGTGATTAGTCCCCTGTCCCGAACCCCAAAAATCCTGCCAGCTGTCCTAACACCCAATAATAATTGGAATAAGCCCTCTCTGCCTTACTGATCTGAAGTGTCACCTTACTCTTTACTAAACTCCTATTTCCAGGCTCCTATTTCTGATCTGTCTATTTCTGCACCAATGAGAATCACTTTTAATTCTGAAGCCTTATTATTCATTTTAATATCAGGTAAGGCTAATCGTCTTTTGTAGCTGTTCTCGTAGTTACCAGGCTTACTTTTCTACATAAATTTTATCAAAAGAGATTAAGCTGACTGCCGTATTTCTAAGAACTTATTTTCCCTTTTGGAAGTAAATATTATCTAGTAAAGCCATTTACATTTTTTAATTAAACTAATCAAAACAAACTATAAAGCTACTTTCACACTCAAGATTTTTAAATAAAAATAATGGAGCAAAAATTGGTTTGATAGTAGTAATATGTTAATCCTTTGAAGTGAATTAGACATCTCT